GTTTATATTATTAATAAAATTAATAATTATTATGTTATTTTATTATTATTATTACTAAAATAATAATAATAATATAACAATAAAATAATATAATATAATTATAATTATTAATATTATTATCTATTATTAATATTAATATTATTATTTATTACTAATAATAGAATAATATTAATTATTATTTTTATTGATTATATTAATAATATAAACATACTTATCGTATTTATTTTATTACTAATTATAATAAAAATAATAATTAAATTTATTAAAAATGATTCTTATTAGTTATAATATAAAACATATTATTATTAATAATTATTAAAATACAATAATTAAATTTGTGTAATGTTTATATATTATTATAATTAGTAATAATTATTATTAATATTACTCTGTAATTAATAATAAAAATAATATTATTAATAAAAAAATAATAATATTAATAATTATAATTATAGCATAAAAGTAAAAAGCCGTGGTATATATACTTCTATATATAAAAATTTAATTATATTTTTAAATTAAAAAATAAAATAAAATAGTGTTACAAAATTTGTTTCGGAGTTTTACTAAATTTGTAATTTTTTAAAATTTAACTATTTTTATTTAAAAATTAATATTTTAATCATTATTTATAAAACATAATTTTCTATAGGATTAGAAAACGGATTAGCTGTACCGTTTTCTCGTCTAAATTAAATTAGATGATATATATAAATATCAATCATATAAAAGAAAATAAAATTTCAATATATAGATTACTAACTTGGAAAGATGTAGATAAATTAGGTGAAAGACTCCTAATATGTCTCCTTTCCTTTCTCCTACGTTGACTAATTTCTTATTTATCATTATAACACACTATATCCACTTGCCGTCCAAATAGAAAAGGATTTTTTTTTATTAAACTAATATTTAAATAAAGAATGAGAATTTTTTATTTATTAAACTAATATTTAAATAAAGAATGAATTAAAATAGCTAACTAGGATGTGATGAAAGAAGAGAAATGGATGGAAGGAGGAAGACATGAATAGAATGATGCGTGGTGGTATGAAATTTGCAGGGAGCAGTGGGATGTTATTTGGAGTTGAGATAGATATTCTCCCTTTTTATATAATTTAAACTTAATTATTATTTAACATATTTATTTATATATTTATAATTTTATTTTTTTCATCACTCCTCACTTTTATATAATTTATAATTTTATTTTATTAAACTTAATAATTATTTAATTTATTTATTTATATATTTATAATTTTATCTTCTTATATTTTTATTTTTTTATATTTATTTATTATTTATTAATAATATATTATTTAACAAAAAATTAATAATTAAGATCCAACGTTCAATTGGATACTATTTGGTCTAAGATTTCGTCATTTGATAAGATATTTGAGATATTAATTTTTTTAAAGTTTTAATTCATTACACTTTAGTATTTAAAAGGCGTATGCCAATTAAAAAAAAAGTGCAACATTAACTCGTGAATATATTAAAATAAAATTTTATTTCAACTCTCATCATCATTCATAAAAAATGAGATATCCTTATAAAATTAATGTAAATAAATCAATTTAATTGAAAAACATAATAATTTAAATTTTATATGAATAAAATTAATGTGAGAAAACTTAAATATAAAAACAAATTAATAATAAACATACATTTTATTTTTATAAATAATAAAACCTTAAAAAGAATTAAATTTCCATTTTATATTTTTATATAACTTTTTATTTGAGAAAAGATAGACTAACATGCTGATTTGTTAGTGATACACAGAATCTGGGAATCAGACACACTTCATATATATATATATATATATATATATATATATATATATATATATATATATATATATATATATATATATATATATATATATATATATATATATTCAAAATGTAACAACTTATCATATTTTTTTCAATTTTTTATAATTAACTCTTCTAAAATAACTTAAAAAATATTTTTTGAAATTATACTTCAAAATAATATAAATTTAATATTAATATAATTTATTTTAAATATAAATAAAATACAAATCTAAAATAAAATAAATCCTTTATTTTATTTTAAAAAATTTTAAACTGAAATAAATATTTTTAAAATTATAACTTTTTTATGATAAATTCCGTCGAATTTAATAATTAATTTTTAAATTTAAGTTTATTTTTTATATTTAATAAATAATTAGTTGAAATAATAAATTATATATTTATATTAATCAATCAATAATTAAATCAATGTTCATATTATTTATTTTTAAAAGTATTATGTTAGTTTGAAATAATTTAAATTACTTTTAATATTTTAGTTATCTAAAATATGTATTTTATTTAAATACAAATTAAATTATATTAGTATTTATAATAAATATTTAAATATATTTTAAATTATTTTAAAATATAATATTTTAAAATTTTAATTATTTTGTAGGTTATATTTTAAAAAAATAAAAATAAAATAAAATAAAATTTAAGAGAAAATTATAATAATAAAATATATATTAAGTAAAATATACTATATAAATATGATGTCAATAATTATATAAATAATATATTTTAAAAGAAAAAAATCTTAAATAAAATGTTTATTAATTTATTTATTTAATTAAATTCATTTATTATTTATACACAATAATTTAATATAAAAATAAAATTTATCAAATAAAATGTTGTTATTTTTTCTCTCTTTATTTATTTTTTAATTTTTTTCTTTGTTGTTCATTATCTTAATTTTCTTTATGTTCTTTCACTCCTTGTGTTTTTTTTATTTCTTATCATTTATTTCTCTTTTTCTTCTTTTTTATTTTTAATTTTTTTCTCTTCTTTCACTATATCTTATTATTTTAATTAAAAATATTATGTTAAAGTTTAATAAAAACATATTAAAATATCTTTTTTAAATCAACATTGAAAATAATAAATATTTATTTTATAAAGTATTTTTTATTAAATAATGTTTTCTAAAATTATAGACTAAACATAATAACCTAACGTAATTATCATTAAATTAAATTATTAATTAAAAATAAAAAATAACTCATAAATATTAATATTTTTTTAATTAAATGAGTAATTAATTTATTTTGATAAATTAATTTAAAATTAATTATTTACTTATCATAAAAAAATGATATGTTATGATTAAAATTTTAAATAATTAACTGATATTTCTTACACTTAATGTTAATTAAAAAATTACTCTTAACATGTTTTTATTATATTTAAATTTAATATTTTTATTAGAAAAAAAATGAGAGACGAAAGAAAAAAAGCAATAAAAGAAAAAAAGAGAGTAAATAACAAAAAGAAAAAAATAAAGGAAAAATAATTAAAAAATTTATTACCTATAAATAATAAATAAGTTTAATTAAATAAATATTTAATATATTTTTTAAAATATATTATTTATGAAATTAATTGGTTAACCTATTCTTTTTTATCTTTTGCACATAAAATTTTACTTTATATTTACACATGTTTCTGTGTATTGATAAGTTTCTTTTTTTAATAGTTTTCTCTGAATGGCTTTATGCCAAACTATGACTTCCATAATGTTATGAAATTCAAAGGTCTTCCCTCAACTAAGATCATTTATGAGTTATTCCTAATTTTATTTTTTTAATGAAATGGTGTTTTCAATTATTCCTTTGTCTTTTCTTCCCAATAAACATGATTTTATTAATTAGTAACACGATTTTTATATTGTGTTGATTTGTTATATAAACAATATGATATACCAGTTAAATGGTCAATTACGGTATAGAGTAAGACATTTTCAATTTAGTTATTGAAGTGATAGAAAATTTATAATTTTTTTTAACGTGTAAAAATGCGAAAATTAGTTTAACTTAATCATATAATAATTTATAAATTAAAACTAAATTAGTTTTCAAATTTACAGCTTAATCTTATAAATTTAATATCAGAATGTAATTATCATATTTTTTAATTATTCAGCTATTAAATTAATTTTGTTATTATTTCAAAAAATAAATTGATAACATCACACATATTTATAAATTTGAATTGGTCATTTATCCAGTATATAATGATTCTCAGGTGAATAACTTTATTTTTATTTTTTTCTGGATTCGCACACGTATCACTTTCAAAGTCGATCTTATTCTATTCACGATTATTGAATACTAAACATGAATGTCTTTTCTTATGAAAATTTGAATTTTGATTTCCCTACACTCTAAGGTACTAATCTCTTCCCCATTATTCAACCCTCATCAATATCTCAGTTGAATTTCGATCATTAATAAATGATAAATTTCTAACACACACACACACTATATATATATATATATATATATATATATATATATATATATATATAACTTTACATATTTGATCATGACAGTAAGAACAAATTAACATTGTTTTACACAAATCAATGACAAATGGCATCGCAAAATATGGAAACAAATTAAAAAAAACTGGTAAAACGTGCGATAAGAAAACATATAGATATGTAAATTTTTAAAAAAGAAAATACACTAAACAATTTCATTCCTATTTTTACAGGAAAATTATCGAATAACATGTAACTAAGACAGAGCTTTTAACCAAAAAGACAATTATGATAGAGCACAGTGCAAGGGTTGTAATATAGGGAACTAAACATTCTCATTAATCTTGTTTATGTGAGAGGAAATAGAGATCGTGACGATGAAAATGGAAAAACAGGAGAGCAAAGGAGAAGACCAGAACTAGTTTTTGTTTGACTTCTTGATGTGTTATCACGTGACAAGATCGTAACATCAGCTTATCAACCAAGTTGCCAATAATTTTCCATTTCCCCAAACGCAGACAAATCTAGACCAAGATATGTTCATAATTAATTATATGAAAGATGTGTATGATGTATTGGCAACAGATGCGGTGCACACAAGAGACCAAGTCCCCTCAAAAACAGTGAACAGACACAGTGCCCTTAGCCAATGTCCATTTTTATCTCCAATTTGTGCAGAGGAATAAAAAATGGCCATTCTTCCTACTACGATGCTTGTTATTACTTTTATTCTACTAGCTTTCTCTTCTGATTCTGCCACCATCATTACCCAGTTTCAGTCCCTTCCCTATGGAACCACCTTGGTATCCGAAGATGGAACCTTCGAGTTGGGATTCTTCGACCCGGGTAGTTCCTCAAACCGCTATCTAGGAATCTGGTTCAAAAAAATCCCACAAAAAACCTTTGTTTGGGTTGCCAACCGTGACAACCCTATCAAAGACAACAACTCCACCAAGCTAACACTAACCAAACAAGGGAATCTCGTACTTCTCAACCAAAACAACACCGTTATTTGGTCAACAAATACAACAACAAAAGCGATCAACGTTGTAGCACACCTCTTGGATTCGGGAAACTTGGTTCTGAGAGATGAAAAAGACAACAATTCGGAAAACTACTTGTGGCAGAGCTTTGACTACCCTTCAGATACAATTTTACCAGGAATGAAGCTAGGGTGGGACCTAACAAATGGTCTTAATCTTAATAAGTACCTCACTGCATGGAACAATTGGGAAGACCCATCTTCTGGTCACTTCACTTATTCTGTGACAAGAAGCAACGTTCCTGAACTGCACCTATTGAATGGCTCATCATTGTTCTACAGAAGTGGCCCTTGGAATGGGATTCGATTCAGCGGCACACCCTCTTTGAAGCGCCGTCCATTGTTCACATACAATTTCGTTTACGAAAAGAACCAGTATTATTTCCAATTCTACCCGAGGAATAGCTCCTTAATCTCGAGAATTGTCCTCAACCAAACCCTTTACACTCTTCAACGCTTCATTTGGGTTGAAGGAAGTAACAAATGGGAGTTGAATTTGGAAGTTCCAAGAGATATCTGTGATGGGTATGACTACTGCGGCTCTTTCGCGTACTGTGTTAGTGCCACTACGTCTCCTATGTGTGTGTGTTTGAGTGGGTTTGAGCCAAAATCGCCTCAAAACTGGGATGCAAATAAATGGAGTGAAGGGTGCATGCGAAGTAGTAAAAGTTGGAAGTGCAAGGATAAAAATAGAGATGGTTTTGTTGTATTTAAGAATATGAAGCTTCCAGACACTGAAATTTCTTGGATAAATAGAAGTACGGGACTTGAGGAATGCAAGGAGATATGCAGGGAAAATTGTTCGTGCACTGCTTATGGTAACTCCGACATCACTGGAACTGGCACTGGTTGCATCCTTTGGTACGGGGAACTGTTGGATTTGAGGCAGCTTCCAGATGCAGGACAAGATCTGTACGTTAGATTGGATATCACAGAAATGGGTATTGAATTTTATTTTGTTTTTTCTCCAGTTTAAAAGAAAATTATTATATTTTCTCTCTTTTTTTTTTTAATATAAAAAGTTCAAATTCAATTATTTTATTGTCCACTAATTAGAAAGTTAATTTAAAATTAATTCTTTTAAAAGTCAATAAATTTAAAATATCTCATAGATTAATTACTTTTCCTTTTTTAAATAACCATAATAATAAATAATAAAATAGAAATACATTAATATTGTCTCATATAGGTTTAGAATTTTGTTAAATTTTGTTTTGTATTTTAAAATTCATAAATTAAAATATTGAGCAATATATGTATAGTAAGAAAGATAAAAGATTTGAAGATAATAGATAGTTTGATTTTTATTTTTTTTGAAGTACATTGACGCAGGAAAAATATAATACTATTAACTTAATCTACTATTTATTTATTTTTTTAATTCTAGCAAATTCATTGATTAGGTTTTTTAAGAATTACAGGAGAAAATTACACTAATTCTGCTTCATTTCTTTCCCTTTACACGTGTGTTGATTGTTGTTTCATTTGTTCTGAGAAGGAGATCAAAATGCAAAAGGTGATTCAAGGAAAGTGGCTGTTGTGGTCCCAGGCATAGTTTCATCTATCGTTGCCATGGTTGTAATTTTCTTATTTATTTACTGGATAACTAAAACCAAATTCAGAGCCAAAGGTAACCTTCTTCACTTCTACACACTACTTTTTCTATGCTTTTTTTACCCCATTGCATATCATATTCAACAATTTTATTTTATTTTTTTGTAAAAAATTATATAAATTTTTATTATTTCCATGTGCTTAAACAAAGTAATCTACCCTTTGTCACCCTCAAGCTATACGTTTAGCAGCATCATTAAATTTTACTTTATTTTACTCATATTTATTAAAATTCTTTGTATATGCTTTTATCCCGAACTTTTACTTCTGAAAAATCTTATTGGTTTCAATAATTTTATTTTTGAGTTTTCCGCTAAATTATGTTACAATTAAAAGTTGTAATCACGAATAAAACATGTTAAATTAAATATTATTGTATATTTCGATACACTTCATTCATTCAGAAGTAACTCTTATTTATATATATATATATATATATATATATATATATATATATATATATATATATATATATATATATATATATATATGTATATATATATAGAGAGAGAGAGAGAGAGAGAGATAGATAGATAGAAAGACTATCAATACACTTTTTAGAACCTTTTTTTACACATTTTATTATTTTTAATAAATTTGATCAAACATTTTAAAACAATGAGAAAAACTCATTAAGGTTGTGTTTGATTTAGGAAAGAAAAGAAAATGAATTATTTATTTAGCTAAGTAATTCATTTTCTATAGATTATTTGGCAGGAAAGAATGTTATAACTTTTGCTTTGTTTTGTTGGGTTGTATAAAAAGTAAAAGCAAAGTAAAAAATAAGGTACGTATAATGACAAAAATATTCTAGCTAAGTGAAACAAAACCATTTTATCTCTCATTTTCTTCTCAAATTGGGAAGAAGTCCAAAAGTTTTGTTATTTTTTGTTTTATTGATCACAAAGTAATCTCCTCTTAAAGCTATCCTCTTTGAACAAGATTAGATCCTTGTAATAAAATAAAATTAGAAAATCCTCCATTTGAGTATTTAACATAACTACTTAATCAGAACTCAAACTTAAAACTTCTAATTAAACTGAAACAAGAAACCATATTAACAAGAAAATAAAGCACATTAGTGTTCTTTTCCTTTCCCCACCCCCATCTTCCTCTTTCCTACATATATTTTTATTTCTCATAACTTTGTCCTTAATCATCTGCCCAAAATCATTCAACAAATAACATTCTTTTCTAGCAACTTGAAAAGTAAAGCATTGTTTTTTTATAAATTGGAATTCTTAATTTTAGTTTTTAGTAATATTTATTAATCAAAACACTTCTTTCCTTTTTCTTTTTTATGAAAAAAGAGTTGAGAAAAATTTGCAAACCAATTTGATTGTATAATTTGAAACACACTAAAGAACATGTAACTTACCATAGCGGATAGGGCCCAAACAACTGAATATGGGGAGCTGAATATTTTCATTCATTTTGTTTAATTGAGAGTAAACAGGGATCATGAAGCCAACAGTGAAAATAAATGAGAGCAAAGAAGATCTAGAATTACCTTCGTTTGACTTTGATACAATAGCATGTGCTACTAATGACTTCTCAAGTGACAACAAACTTAGTCAGGGTGGTTTCGGTCCTGTATATAAAGTAAGCATCAAACATGTTGCCATGTACGTAATTAATTGTGAAAAACAGTGGACATAACGTGACCCTTTCTAATTGCCATGTTTCTTCTTTTTAAGGGCACGCTACCAGATGGACGTGATATTGCAGTCAAAAGACTTTCACACACATCCTCACAAGGATTGACAGAATTTACGAATGAAGTTGTATTTTGTTCTAAACTTCAACATCGAAATCTCGTTAAAGTCGTTGGTTGTTGTCTTCATGAGCAAGAGAAATTACTCATTTATGAGTACATGCCTAACAAAAGCCTAAACTTCTTTCTTTTTGGTTAGTGTTTCTATGAAATTGTTTGAAATTTTAGTTGGTTATAATATTTGTTGATTAATAATAATAACTTAAATATATACTTTTTCAGATCCTTCACAATGCAAACTTTTAGATTGGTCCAAGCGATTCAGTATTATAAATGGAATTGCTCGAGGGCTTCTTTATCTTCATCAGGATTCTAGACTGAGGATCATACACAGAGATTTGAAAGCAAGTAATATTTTGCTAGATAATGAGATGAATCCAAGAATTTCTGATTTTGGATTAGCTCGAATATGTGTAGGTGATCAAATTGAAGGGAATACAAAAAGAGTTGTTGGTACATAGTAAGTATTTTTACTTAAGATAAAGCTAAAATTGCAGAGAAATAAAATCTGAAAATAATTCACCTTTTTTGGTTTCTTTCAGTGGTTACATGGCACCTGAATATGCAATTAATGGAGTATTCTCCATTAAGTCTGATGTTTATAGCTTCGGTGTCTTGCTGCTAGAGGTTTTAAGCGGGAAGAAAAATAAAGTGTTCTCCTACTCAGACAATAGTTATAATCTTATTGCAGAAGTAAGTTGCAAAAATAACTTCAGTTTGTTAATAATGAAGTAGGTTTTAATATTTGTCATGAATTGTTGCAGGCATGGAGGTTGTGGAAAGAGTGCATGCCAATGGAATTCATTGATACTTGTTTGAAGGACTCGTACATATTTTCTGAAGCATTGCGATGTATTCATATTGGTCTTTCTTGTGTGCAGCATCATCCTTATGATAGACCAGATATGAAATCTGTAGTTGCAATGTTGACAAGTGAAAGTGTTTTGCCACAACCGGAAGAGCCTGTTTTCCTTACAGAAAATAGTGTTTTGGTTGTGGAAGATTTAGGACAAGTGATGCACTATTCAACCAGTGAACTAACTATCTCAAGGATGGAACCTAGATAAACGTTTTGTTTTATTTCTTACCATTAGTTCCAATGATAATTAGGTTTCCCTGCTACTATACTAAATTAAATTTATGTACTATCTTTTTTTTTATATTACTTTATTATCTTTTATTTAAATTAGGTATTGAAATATTTTATTATCTTTTAAAAGAGAATATAAAAAAATATTAGATTATTATTTTTCTTTAAACGAGTTATGATTAAAATATTATTAATATTTGATATTTTGTAATATTTTTACTCTATATATACATAAAATACATGAATAAAAAAAATATACTCATATCGAAATACACATATACAAAATCCTAAAAAATATAATAAGTGGTATCAAAGTTTTGGTTCGATATAATTGAAGGAAAAAGAAATTTGATACAATGGAAGGAGAAAGAAATTTGATACAATAGAAGGAGAAACAAACTTTTCACATTCACTATTCCAATATTTTATGACAAAAGTTGTGACTTATTGGTTGTAAGAATGTAATTCTATCTAAAAGGATTAGATGTGTGGGAAGTTGTGGAAGAATATTATATTATTGATCCATTACCTGAAATTCCCACCATAGCTCAAATGAAATTTCGCAGAGAAATAAAAACAAGAAAGGCAAAAACTAAATCATGTTTGCTTTCTCGTGTTTCACAAATGATCCTCATCATAATCATGACGCTAAAGTCACCCAAAGAAATTTGAGATTATTTGAAATATCAATATGAAGGGGACGAGAAAATTCGAGGTATGAAAGTTCTAAACTTAATAAGGGAATTTGAGATACAAATGATGCAAGAGTCTGACACAATTAATGAATACTCAAACAAATTTTTGGGTATTGCTAACAATAAAATTGTTAGGCAAGAAATTTTATGATTCCAGAATAGTTGAGAAAATTCTGGTAACTATGTCAGAGAGATATGAAACATCTATTACTTCATTGGAAAACACAAATGATTTGTCTAATATTACTTTGACAAAAGTGCTACATCTTTTACAAGTGCAAGAGCAACGAAGATTGATGAGAAGAGATCATATTGCTGTGAAGGTTTTTTACTATATTATGGTGAAGGTTTTCTCCGAGGCAAGAACAACAAAGGTACCAAATCGTAAGTCTTTTCTGTTTGTCCTTATTACAAGAAAAATAATCACACACCCAACAAGTGTTGGTGGAGGCCTGATATGAAATGTCGCAAATGTGGTCAATTGGGACATATAAAAAAAATATACAAATCACAATCAAAAGAAGTCGTCAAAGTTATAGGGGATGGAGTAGAAGGAAACTTCTCCTTGCATCAACATGCTCTACAATCAACAAATCCACATGTTGACTTATAGACAGTGGTTGTACAAATCATATGATTCATGATCGAGAGTTTTTCAAAGAGCTCAACAAATCACATGTTTCTAAAGTGAGAATCAGTAATGAAGAACAAATGAATGTGAAACGTACGAGAACAATTACAGTTAAAAGTCATTCGGGTATCAGATTAATTTTTGATGTTTTATATATTCCTGATATTAATCATAATTTGTTAAGTGTTGCTTAATTATTGGAGAAAAGTTATACGGTGTCTTTTGAACACAAACTTTGTGTCATTAAAGATACAACTAACTTGGAAATATTCAAAGTTCATATAAAAGGAAAAAATTTCACTTTAGATTTAATAAAAGAAGAGTTGATTACAAACGAGGATATAAAACAAAAATCAAATAATAAACACGAAGAATATTTAAGGAACTTGATGAAACCGTTTCCAACTTTTATAGAGTCAACGATACTACCATGAAATTTAAAAGAAACAAAGGGGATGAAGTTGATAAAAAAAGAAATACTTTAATGAATAAATGAAGTTACAAGAAAAAAGATGACAAGAAGTACAAATAAAAAGGAAGAAAATTTTTAAGCAAAATCAAAAGAAGAATATCAAATTCAAATAAATAGATATTAAAGTAGGGAGAAATGTTAGAAATATTACTTTATTATCTTTTATTTAAATTAGATATTAAGATATTTTATTATCTTTTAAGAGATGATAAAAATATATTAAATTATTATTTTGATTTAGGTAGTTATGATTGAGATATTATTAATATTTAATATTTTGTAATATTTTTATTCTATATATACATAATTAATATATATATATATATATATATATATATATATATATATATATAATACATGAATAAAGAATATATATAAACTTAATATTTTATAATATATATAAAATTCGCATTACTTCTAAACTTAAGTTTGTGTTCAATTCTATATATGAATTTCAAGCTCTTGATTTTCTTGTTGTGGTGTGTCATAACTTCTAAAATAAACTTAATCAAATTACGTTCAATCTTCATTTCACATATAACATTTGTTTTTTTAACTTGAATTTATCAATGCGCTTCATTTATTGTATTTTTGCTTTGTTTATAGGTGTACTGTGTTAATCAAATTTATGTAAAATTCACTATTATAGTGTATGATTTTTCTAAGGAAATTTTGTTGTAAGAATACCTTGTAAAACTCATTACTTAAAAAAAATATTTTTATTATTCAATAATAAATAAAATAATAAAGAGATATGTATTTTTTTTTATTAAAATCCAGGTATTTTGTTTTTCACTTATATATTAAAAGGACGAAAATGACAGTTTGAAAAGAAATTATTGTTTTATAACTTTTTTTTATAAAGATTATTTTTACATAATCATATATGATTTTATTTGAATTTTTTTATTTTTGATATTAACTAAATTAAAATTATATCATAAGAAAAAGTAAAAAATGAGGGAATAATTTATTTTTTTAAGTAAATATTTTAAAAAATATATATATAATTTTAATAAAGAAATAAAAAAGTTAGGAATGATCATCATCTCATATTATTAATAAAATAATTTTATGATTTTATAAGATTGAGATAAATATTTTTATTTTTAATAGAATTTAATCTCATCATATCATAAATCTGATTCAACCCATGTAATGACTGATACTTGCAATCATAAAACTATAAAACTATTTTTTCTATATAGCATCTAATAATGAGACAGTTACTTCATTGGTTGAACAAGACTCTTGTCTACCACAAGATTGTTCAGCTTCAATTGAAATATTTTTAATTAAGAAACCAGGTGGCTTAGGTGAAGATAAAACATTTTCACTGCTCAACATTACTGTCACCGAGGTCATGTTTGGCCTGTCTTCAGGATGATGTTGCAGACATAAAAGACCAATTTGAATGCAACGAAAAACTTCTGATATATTACATGAGTCCACTAGATTAGCATCAAGCAATTGTTCTGGAATGCCCTTTTTCCACAATCTCCATGCCTACAATAGTTCAATGCAATTGTTATATATATATAATACTTTTGTTATCGAAAATTTAATTTCTATTTTTTGGTGTTACTCACATGGCCAATGAGATTATCACTGTGTTCTTCACATGTAACTGTTCTGTTTTTCTTTCCAGCGACTATTTCCAGCAACAATACACCAAAGCTAAAAACATCTGATTTTGTGGAGAATAATCCATCAACAGCATATTCAGGTGCCATATACCCACTTCAAAAAACAAAACATGAATTAATATATTGTTTCATCAATTATTGTAAAACTTTAACATCGATTTTTTAAGATACTTACTATGTTCCAACAATTCTGTTTGTACTCCCTTCAACTTGATCACCTCCACACATTTTAGCCAAACCAAAATCTGAAATTTTTGGATTCATGTTACTGTCTAATAAAATGTTACTTGCTTTCAAATCTCTGTGTATGATTCTTAATCTAGAATCTTGATGAAGGTACAAAAGTCCTCGAGCAATTGCACACAAGACGTTAAAGCGCAGTGGCCAATCTAAAAGTTTACCTCGCATCGCACCGAATCTAGCAAGAATTTCAACAAGTTGATTAGTCATTTCTTTGAAAACGTTTTCTATACTGATTACCAAGATCTTAATTTTACAAATACTCACCAAAAATGAATGAATCGAGACTTCTATTAGGCATGTATTCGTAGAGTAACATTTTCTCCTCTCCTTCAATGCAACAACCAAGAACCTTAACAAGATTTCGATGTTGAAGATTGGCACACAATATTACTTCATTCTTAAATTCTTTCAATCCTTGTCCTGAACTCCTTGAAAGCCTGCAATCTCTTGTCCATCTAGCATTGTACCCTAAATTTTATGGTGCAGGAAAATTTAATATGAAAAGCATGAGTTTTCTTAAGCCTTATTAATATGAAAGGTTACCTTATATACAGGTCCAAAACCACCTTCACCCAGCTTGTTGTCATCTGAGAAGTTATTGGTGGCATTAATTATTGTTGCAAGACCAAAGAAAGGAAGTTCCAGATTTTCTTGCCCTCCATCATCTTTCTCCTCTGTCCATATTCCATTTCCTTAAAACAAGAACGTTACAATCATTTGAAGGCAAACGTAAAGCTAACAGACTCGGCAGTTTTAAGTGGAAACTCAGAGCAAAAGTATGGTGGTAGAGAAATTGGTAGTTCTATTTAACTATAATATCCCAAAAATATATATTAAATTTATAGGCATGTAGATAATCGAAGAATACATGAAACTACAGAGTATCATTTTCCTATAGTTTATGATAGACATCAAATGAGATGATCAAGTGCCATGAGACTACAAACGGAGGGATTTTACAATATATAGTCAATGAAATCCTTTCTAATACTGTGCTAAACAAGAAAAGAATGCCTGGACCTTGAACAAGTAAGAAATAGTTCTTCAAACTTTTGTATTCTAATAAAAATATTTCATATAACATTACAGCTTGGTGTTCAATTTTTTACTTATTGCAGGTGTGTAAGCTGGTTTAAGATCTTTCTGAAATAATAATAATATTAGAGGAAAAAAAGGCTTTATGGCCCGGAAATTTACCTTTATACTTTCTTCTGGTCATGTAAATGTAGGAGAATGCCAATAGAACGAGAAGGACTACAGAAATTGTGACTCCGACCACTGAGACTAACTTTTTTGAATGCTTATGTTTAGCATCTGCATATTTATAGTTTGACAAGAAATAGAGCTCATGTGATTGTCAAATAACAGCATTTGTTCTGTTAATTCAACACATTTAGAATAATATCATTGTCTTTACCGGCATCTGAAGTGGCCATTCGAACGTATAGATCTTGCCCACTTTGTGAAATTCTCAGATCGACAAGATGACCAAACCAAATGGAGCAACCACTACCTCCCTCACTTGTGTCCAAGTTCGCATAGGCAGTGCAAGAACAATTTTCCATGCACTTGGCCTTGCAATCTTCAAGTGTCATACTTTCATTTATCCAAGAATGTGTGGTATCTGGCATTTTCATCCCAGCAATTCTACGAAACCCATCTCTATTTTTGACCCCACAACTCCATGGTTCACTTTGCACACACCCTTGTGTCCAATCCATTTGATTCCAATCTTGGAGTGATTTTGGCTTGAACCCCTCCAAGCATTGGCACACTGGGGACGCATTAATCACACAATTCCCATTTGCACCACAAACATTGTAAACATCACAACTGTCCTGTGGCAGGGATTGGTATACACTCCGAGTTCTAGTGTGAGGAATCCATGTAATTCGTTGGCGAAGATTAAGGGTTTTGTTCAAAACAATTATAGAAATCACAGAACTATTCTTGAGGGTGTACCTAACATACACTTCATCTTCATTCTGAACATATTTATATTCAAAAAGTGGATTAGACAGAATCCAAATACCCCACTAGAAAAAATCCCATTCCAAGGACCACTCCTATAGTACTCAACCGAGCCTTTCCAAATTGCCAATTCAGGATTAACCCCAAGCTTCACACCGGAAGTAAAATCTCCCGAAGATGGGTCATCCCAATTTTTCCAAGCTCTAAGATACCTATTGAGACCAGTTTTAAGGTTCCACCCCAACTTCATTCCTTGCAAGAGTGTATCACAAGGATGGTCAAAGCTCTGCCACAGAAAACTCTCTTCATTGTTGTTATCCTTCTCATCTCTAATTACTAAATTTCCATTGTCTAAAAGTTGCACGACGGGATTCAAAACCATTGTTGTTGCATTGTCTACCAAACAACAGACCGGTTTTGGCTGAGAAATACGAGATTTCCTTCTTTGTTTAGAGACAACATGTTGGATTTATGTTTGGAAGGGTTGTCACGGTTCGCAACCCAAACTATGGTTCTAACTGAATATTTTTGAACCAGATGCAAACAAGTGGCAGATGTTATCGGAAGGTGAAGGGGTTGTGAATCCTCAAATTTGAAACTCTCATCTAATGATTTTAATCTAATGATTTTAATTAACTCAAACGTAATAAATATTTAATATATTTATTTAGATATTTATAATTTTATCTTCTTAATCTCTTTTCATATCATTTATCATTTTTTCATATCATTTATCATTTTGTCTCCTTCTTCTATCTTAATAATAATTTAATATATTTAAATATATATTTACAATTTTATCTTTTTAATTTTTTTATCTTTTTTTATATTTATTTATTATTTATTAATAATATATTATTTACTCAAAAACCAATAATCAAAATCCGGTCACTGATTCAATTTACTGTTTGTGGAACTACCAGGAGTGAAGAAACCCAACTCGAAGGTTCCATCTTTGGAGACCAAGGTAGTTCCATCAATAAGTGGGTGGGACTGAGTAATGGTGTCAGTTGCATGGGAAAATTGAGAGAAGTACAATAGTAGGGTAAGGCAAAGAAAAATAGCAGAAAGAAGTGTCATTTTGTTTGCATGCAACAATTTCTGCATACTGTGGTAGAAGTCGAAGGTGTATTTGTGAAGATTTGGTGGTGGTTCTGAATAACTTAAAGGGAAAGGGAATGGTTCACGTGGTTGCCGAATTTAACATGATAAGTTATGTGCAATAAATAGAGTAGTTACATGAAGTAATGTGATGGTTCATATCACAAAATATCTCCATATTATTTTACAATAAAAGAGACACTAAGAAGACAAGAGAGGGACAAAAAGATGGCATCACTTAACTTGGTTAGTTGGTCACCTAGTCCATCTAGGTTGCCATATTTGACAACATTATGTGTTGCCATTCTTGTGATATTTGGAATAAATACAGAAGAACTAACGTGTACTAGTAAGATATATAAAGCAAAAAAAAATAAATAAATAAAAAACTAAATTATAAGTGTTAAAATACATTTGGGATATTAACTAGTTTTTAGTATGACCACATTTATGATTTTTTTTAAGTATGATTACAGGTAATTTTTTATGTAGATGGCTTTATTCAAATTATGAAAATTAAGTTTTTGTCTAAATATTTAATATAACTATAAATTATGATTTAAATTTGAGATTATTAATCAAACTAAAATAATCAATCTCATAAATAATATATTTTAAAAAAATACTTAAATAAAATTACTTTTTTATTATTTTTAAAAAATAAAATTATTTAAATATTAGAGAAATATTATAATTTAAAATATTATATTTAAAAAATATTATAAAATAAAATTGAGATATTATAAATATTATTGTTATGTTATAATTATTAATAAAAAATTAAATATTTATTTTAAAGTAACTTTTTTAACAAATATTTTTTTAAATTATTTAATATAACTAATTATCATAATTCAACTTAATTATAAATTATCAAGTGAAAAAATATTTAATTAATAAATATTTGATATTTTTTTATTAAATGAGTGATTATTTATTATAATAAAATAATTTTAAATAATTATTACATAATAAATAAAATTATTTATTGTTATCATAATTTAAATAATTAGTTGGTATTTTTTAAATTTTAATGTTGATTTTAAAATGTTTTTTTAATATATTTTTATTAAATATTAATATAATAATTTAATTAGAAGGATAAGTGAGAGAGGAGAAAAAAGAGATATGGAGATAAAAAAAATAAAAAAAATGCAAAAGGAGAAATATAAAAAGAATTATAGAGAAAAAAATAAACATGAAAAATAAATTTATCTACTTATATAAATAAATTAATAAAGTTTTTATTTAAATAATTTTTTAAAAATATATTATTTATAATATTAATCTAAACTAGTAACACATTAAATAAAAATATATATTAAATGAGGTACAGAATAATGTAAATAAGACGTGATCGACCTTCTTGCCTAACAATTATGGAGGCTGGCCATCTTTTCAGTCTTATCAATGAGCATTGACTCGTCATAGAAAACCAATATTTTAACATAATATATTTAAAAAAAAAAAACTTGAAAAGCATTCCAATAATTGAGATGAATTTGATGATGTATATTGATTTCTCTGTCCCCATATTATTCTTTCAAATTGATAAATATTTTAACAATAATAAGTTTATTTCTCTACCTAAATCTATAACAAATAGTATAAATAAATAGTATATTATTTTAATCATTATAAGTGATAATCTAAAAATAAATTACTCTTTAAACTTATTAGTACTATTTTTATTGTCCTAAAAAATAATTTAGTAACCAATTAAAATTAGTAAAAATACAAACGTTTCACCATCATATATTTTATTTACAATGTTAAATTAATAAAAATAAAGTTTTACTCTTCATGTATCACATATCTTCCACTTTTTATAGGTATTATATTTCTATATTTTTCATACTTGTTAAAATTCTCTTAAATTTTTCCTCTTTTTTTCTCTTATATTACAATTTTATTTGGATATTCTTTTCCCTCTTCATCATTAGTATATAATAAAAAAATACTTTTATTAAATAAAAGATAACATGATTTGATAAATTATGATTAAAAAAAACTATAAAAATGAATCCTTTACGTAATGGTGTAGATTTTTTTTTTTGAGATATAATCAATAAAAAAAATTGTAATATATTTGTTATCATAAATTCATCAAATTTATAATCCTAGGGTTTGGACATATAAAAGGGTCAAGTATGTTTTTAGTCCTTGTATTTTCATGCGAAATAAAAAATAGTCCCTTTGTGAAAGTTCACATTTTTTCACAAAATGATTTCTATATTTTTGAAATTATTGGAATAGGTTCCTATTTTAAACGGCGTTAAATATATGATGACCTGTCTAACGAGAGATAGTATGACACATTCATTATTTGACATGTGTAATTATTAAAAAAAAAAGCAAAACTCTTCTTTAAAAAAAATAGAAAGTATTCAACAGATATTGTTATTAAAAAAAAACAAAATTAAAAAGTATAAGTTTTTCTTTTCTTCTCACGTACCAAAACTCTTCCGTTCTCATCACAACCATTTTTCATTCTCTCTTCTTTTCTCGTCACAACTACTTTTTGTTCTCTCTTCTTTTTTCGTCACACACCAAATGTCTTTTTTTTCTTCCGCTTTTTCTGTAAAGATTGTATGAAGTCAAAGTGACTTTGAAGTTCGAGGATTTCATCGGTTCGTTGTGGTTCGACTGGTAATACGACGGTGGTGCACAACGACGAGTGTGCGACGGTGGTATACCATAGCTAGGATTTTCATTTCCGAAAATTAAGATATGTTTTTTCATTTGCGAAACTAAATATTTGTTTTGTTTATTTTAAAGATGAATTGCATTTAAATTCAAAAGGAATGATTTGAACATAGATCCATTCTTAAATGATTTTTAAATGCTTTAAATTTGGATTTAAATGACTTATAAATGATAGAAAAAATTAAATTTATTTTTAAATGACTTTTAAATGTTATAAATGCGGATTTAAATGACTTTTAAAAGTTTGACACCTTTTAATTTTATTTTTTAAAAATAATTACATATGTCAAATAATAAATGAATCATACAATTTCGTTAGACAGGTCATCATATACTTAACCCAATTTAAAATAGGGACATATTTTAATCATTTCAAAATTATATGAATCATTTTTATATGAATTATGACAGAGAGACTATTTTCAATTTTACATTAAAATACAGGGACTAAAAACATACTTAACCCTAAATAATAAAATTTCTCAAAAGAAGTAATTGTATCCCTAACTTGCATTGTCTTTGACGGGATAAACCTTATCCACATTAAAGAATAAAACTCCATATTTGATTAAAAGTAAGAGGTGATTATTTTATTGAATAAAAGCAATAAAATTTTGAAATTAAATTTGTTTAATCATACATCTAAATATATAAAAGATAGAATTTTTGAGAAAAATAATTTCCCCCAAAATTAAGTTATATGTATATGCTTAAAAAAATAAACGTACGAAAATTGATTAATCAATTGGTAATTAAAAAAATTAAAACATGGTATTGAAAGTTAACCTTTAAGATTAATCATCACCGATGAAAATGAAAAATTATAATTTTATTTTCAAATTTTAATTTTTAAAAATTAACTTCCATTTTGAATAATATATCTCTCTTAGTTCTGCTTTTTTTCAACTTGTTTACAATATGACATTTTTACTCTTATAATACAAAAATAACTATATATATATATATATATATATATATATATATATATATATATATATATATATATGTTATCCATTTTAAATACTATATAGATTTATAAAAGGATTTTGTTCTCAATTAATATTATGCCAGAATTAAACAAAACTTTAATTATAGACAACGTATAAATATATAAATTGATTTATATTTTAAAGAAAATATATCAAAAGTGTTTAATTTAAGTTTATTATGAATTCTTTTAATTCTAATAAATTAATTTAATAAAAAAATGGTTTAAATCACATTACAAAATTAATAATTGACATTGATATAAACATTTTTTTTATTTGATAGTCTGTTATATTTTTAACTTAATGTTACCATACATTGTCATTAAAAATTCGTTTCATTATGTTTAAATTTTATATTTATTTTTTTCATTCTCTTACGAATTGCAGGAGTTCATACTCATATATTTTGGCTTACTTAGCAAAAGGAAAAATAAAGAAAATAAAAAATTTGAGCCTAAATGGATATAGATAACATAGAAGAGATAATTAAGACCCACAACAAGAAGATTGAGATTGTATATATCAAGATTTTAATGTGGTATAAGTACAATAAACCTTTGAATTACAACCCAACAACACCTTATGA